TATCTTACGGAATCCACAAATGTTAAAACAAATGATCAAATTGGGAAGAAAGGAGTGATCCCATTTTTGTCAGTTATTCTTACATTTCACCCAAACCAATTGTTATTGAATCTCAATTATTAACATCTGGGTCAGGCTAACAGGATAAAGGTTCAAAGGGTAGCATTGTATGTATTGTATCTAATGCTTAGGTACTAATATAATAAGGAGATATTACAATATAATAGAGATAATTATTATCATCTTTCATAAAGAAAATGTTTAAAGAAAATGCTGCTGGTAGATCCAAGTGGATATTCCAGCTTTCACTTTGGCACTGGACCATCTGTAGTTGCTTGCCTCTAGCCTCTACTGAGTTCTAGTCCGTGAAGTCCATCTCTATGAAAAAAAAAAAAAAAGAGAAAAAAGGTCTTCATTTATATATATTTTACAAGCCCCAGAGCTGTGTGTTTTGTGAATCATAGAACAAATGATATGTCTGCTGCTATTTGAGAAGAGCAGCTGACTTAAAAAGAGAAAGTTTATCACTAACAAGGCTTATGCATCTGTGCATTTATTGATAACTAAGACCAAATTTTCGTGCTTTTGTTACTCTCTTCTCCCCTAGTTCCTGTCCACACTAGGTTTATTTATATGGGAGAAGAAACATCTAGCTGACGCCATGTTGCTCAGTCAGCTTCTCTCAGCGAACTTCGTTTGTCATCTCAGTGAGTCATTATGACAGAATTATAATTTTAGCATGCTATGCTATTTGCTGAAAAGTGTCCATTTTTAGTGGAACAGAGACCCTACAGTTCAAAAAACTGTGGGCGGGCAAATCAGTGCCATGATTAAGTGATATTAACAGACACCCTGAAGATGTAAAAGCCTTGTTCTGTTTCAAGGAAGCAGCTGAGAAGAAAATGCTTAGCAGGGGTTAAACCCAAATGCCTTCACGGCAGCCTATTTCTGTCAACGCTCTGTTCAGGAAATAAACATTTATGCTTTCTGAAATGAAAGTGTATTTTTGAAGACTAGCCGTCAGATATTTTTTGCCCTTCACACTTTCAAATGCTTAGCCTTTTTTGTAAGTTGACTGCAAAGTGCATCCGTTTGCTGGGCTAAGAAAAAATAAATAAATAAAAGCGGTTGACAAGTGCCATAGCACCACTGTCAACCTCCAAAGTTTCCAGTAGAAGAAGGAAAGAGGGTTGGCACAAAACATGGTTTCTTCCAGCCTATTACTTCAGGGGTACCTGCCTCTTGAGAAGCTTTCCAATCCTTCCAAATGATGTTATGCCCCAGCGTCATCTGGTTTATTTGGAGCACACTGTATTGCAGATAAACACGCTATTTAACTGTGGGTTAAGGTAGCGAGTCATTCTGCCTGCAGAATGCCTGAGATACGTTAAAGGGCACTGATCCTAGGATGGAGATGAAGAGAGATCAGGGTTGTCAGCGATATGCATGGAATGGGCTGGAGCTGGGGAAGAAAAAAGGTGCCATGATACCAGTGTATTTTAAAAAGCTGTAATATGGCTGAACATTTAAAACTATAACCTGTCACACACCAAAGATTAAGATCCTGGGATGTACAAAACATGAAGTTCCAATGACACCACTGCAAAGCATGTTTTATTTCACTTCGGAAGGGGGTTTCTCTCCAAAGATAGCTAAAGGTTATACATGCTGAGGACCTCGAACTTGTAGCCCAAGAGCTATAAAACACCACTAAATGCCCAGTAAAAGCACAAACAAGTAATTATCATTTGGATGCAAGCATGCGTGTGCCAATGGAGCCATAGTGTTTTTAGAAAAGTCCTTAGACTCAGTTTATTAAAATATACATTTTCATCTAGATCTTGGTCACTTAGGTTGTTATACTTTGCTCAGGACTGCTGATAAAATTATCATTTTATCCACGTGTCTTTATGAATGTAACATAGAACTAGCACTCCTCAAGGCCAGGGAGAAATTTTTTGAGGAATTAAAATATCATCTCGATTAGGTATTCAGCCTCCTTAGTGCTCAGGTGAACACAGCTAGCTCATAACAAGGCTGTTTAACAAGGCTGTTATCCAGGCATTTGGGCCGGACAGCTCTTTGTGACAGTTTCTAGATTGCAGAGGTTTGGGAGGAAAGGGTTAAACTGTTGGAATCCAGCTATTTCTAGACCAAGAAGAGATAAAAAAGTCCAGACTTTTTTATATTGTGTAAAGCATGGGTTGTCTTCTTTTCCCTATGGTTTTGCAAAAATTATACCTCCTCTAATCAGCTTGAAATAGACTTGAGGCAATCCAACAGACCTTTTGTGCTATATCCATCTCTATGTGTTCCCCAACCTGCCCCCCCCGCCAAAAGGAGAACCTTTTCTTTACCCTTTTCCTTCTTTTTATTTCATTAAGAATTGAAAGGAAAAGTTTGGTTTACGTACACTCTCACACACACACACACAGAGCCATCCACCTAGAAGAATCAAATTGCAGGATCAACCTAAAAAAATGAAATGTTATTGTTTTTGCTTAATTAAACCCCCAAGAAATGTGTGAAACATTGTTATGGCTGAAAAATTGTTCATTTGTAAATCACAGGGACAAAGGGGACCCCGTGCAACTTTAAAGTTTCCGTGCGCGTAAATGTCGATAGTGCGCCTTCTCCGTCATCAGCACTAAATTCACATTGATGCCTCTTTTCTTCTCCGTATTGATCCTTCCATGAGAACGTAGATTTGTATCTGTTAATTAATGCGTCCTGAAACAGCGTTTGTATTAATCAGGCAGATAAGAAAAATTGGAGGCCTGCATCCTCCTGACAGCCGTAAAAGTGCTGGCCCTGATAAAATCGTGGATGGACCTCAATAAAAAAGTTCCCCCTTCCACTCAATAAACTAATCATCCTGCTTTTAATTATTCGGCAGAAAGATGTGTGGAGATTGGAGAATGTGTAAATCTATTTACTAACAGCAGTGTCTGGGAGGGAGAATAGGGCTGTCACAGGAAGGTGCTGCAGGCTATGCGCTCTGTCCATCTGCTGCAGAAAAACTGCTGCTTGGGAGCCTGAAAAGGAACAAGGAAACGAAGGCAAATGGAAAATACCCATCCCTTTCTGCTCGGAACTTTCTAGATGATTATGTTTTCGTCTGCTTCATTTACAAAAGAAAGTCCTACTCCGTCCCTTTTCTTAGCTTAGATATTTGAATTTGCGTGAAGTCTTTTTCTTGATGGGGGAAATAGAAAAAAAAGAGCAATATTGTTTGTTTGTTTTTTGGTTTGTTTGTTGTAAAACAACCTCAAGAGCAAATGGAACCACACCTACTCAGATTAGATCATTATTCTTCTCTTTTGAATCCCTGTTAAAAGTTGTTACATCTCTAATGCCAAGAGGATGTTTATTAATGTAACCTCACATTGCAATGATAAAAAAAAAAAGAATGGAAAAAAGACATAGCCAGTCTAAAAGAAGATCAGTTAAGTAATATGTAAGCGGCTTGATAAAAAAAATGAAAGAAATGCTTTTTACACAGGCCCTAAGACCCCTTAAGAAAAGCTTGACTTAATCCCTCTTGATGATTTTATTAAACGCTTGTAGTTAATGGTGCCAAATGGCAAACCACTAGTTTTCTCCAGTGGGCCAGCAAGTCATTTCCTTTTCTTTACCATGCTGTAGTTGCTAATATCACAAGTTGCATTATTAATATTTCCTTCCTTTTGTAGAATTATTGGTAGCAGGACCTTAAATCATGGTCCCATTGTCCTCAAAAACCATAGAGATGGTTGGTCACCCTTGGAATTCCTGAGCATAACCTTGGAAATGAAAGTGAAGTTTTAAGAAACATTTCGTTTTTTAGGAAAATGTATGTGGTTGATCATCAGGTTTCTCCACTAAGACTTCCTTTTAGAGTCTGGGTCTAATTCCTCTAAAAGTTAAATATATATCTTTACTCCTAAGTAAGTTTAATTGTACTACTTCATCTTTCCCTCTTGAACCACGTTTTCTTTTTAATTTTTTCTTTTGCTTGTGTTTCCTCGAGTTCAGAAGGGACTTTAGACATCTATGCATAAATACAGACCAGATTTTTGTAAAGGATTGAAGCAGTCATCCAGGTATTTCAGATAAAAATAATATATCATACAGCTGCACTTATGGAATGCATACTATATATTAGTGTTTTGCTGGGTTTTCTTTTATATTTCCCCAAAACAAAAATTAAGGTACAAGGAAATTGTCTTGCTCGAGGTGAAACAGCCAGTAGCTCAGTGGAGCCAGTATTTAAGTTCAGGATCAGGTTCTGCTCATATTCTATCCATCACACCCTGTTGCCTGCATATTTAACTTTTTTTAATAACTGGATCTTAATATCAAGAATAAATTGTGGCTTCTCTATTTGGTGAGGAGGCCAGGCTACAAAAGATTCTACCCTCTTTTATACCAATAATCACCATTTTAAAAAGGAATTCATGCTAGATATCAGGGGGGCAAAATACCCAGTTAAGAAGGCTCTTTTGGGTGTAAGCATACTCCATACTCACTGTGCTTGTGACTGTTACAGAGAAATGGTTCCAAACTGCACTCTGCTTTGTGGCCTACATTGTTTGTTTTCCTTTATTTGGGGCTTTTGGTTTTTTACTTTCATGGTGTTTATCAATAGTAGTTTTTAGAGATGAGGTAGTTGAAAGTTTGACTCCCTGTAAGACAGTCATGAAGACTTCCCCTAGAAATCAAGTATATTTCAACATTACACAGTAGTTCCTTCTCAAGTGAAAGAAACAAAACTACTTCTTTTCTATTATATTCCTCTCAGCTGTGTCTATAAAACCTTGAGAAAACGCCAACAAGTTGAAGCTGGTTTGTGACTTTTACTTTGCCATTGGCAAAATGATCAGGGGAAATTTTAAGAGTGGCTAATCAAAGCTCAGCATATTTTTGAGCACCGATGCAGAAGACGACTACCGTATGAAACTAGCGTTGTATCATGAAATGATGGCTTTAAAGTAACTCGATCTGCCCATCTTCCCATGCAGGCTTCTCCACGCTGTCCCTGGCGGACCAGATGAGCCTTCTGCAGAGTGCTTGGATGGAAATTTTGATCCTTGGTGTCGTGTACCGATCTCTTTCCTTTGAGGATGAACTTGTCTATGCAGACGATTATATAATGGATGAAGACCAGTCTAAATTAGCAGGCCTTCTTGACCTAAATAATGCTATCCTGCAGCTGGTAAAGAAATACAAGAGCATGAAGCTGGAGAAAGAAGAATTTGTCACCCTCAAAGCAATCGCTCTTGCTAATTCAGGTTGGCATATTGACAATGGCCCGTTGTTACATTTTCTAATATGTCAGTTTTACCCCTTCCCTTAACTTCTTTCTTCTTCAGGGATTTGCTAGACCCAGTTGTAAATTCTGAGGCAGCAAAATTATAGTCATTGTAGCTTTCTAGTGAAAAGTTAGAAGAAAAGAACTATCAACTTAAAGGGAATTATTTTTATTTTGTTTGTTTATTAAAAGCTGTGACACTTCTACCACCTAATTCACTTACTAACATGAACCATGGCACAGCAAAGACTCATGTGCATGTGGTGTAAATGGACACTGAGGACCAAATTAGCTCCTGTGTCTTGTTTGCACAAGAGAAAATAAGTGTGAGTTACAAATACAAATCATTCCCCCGCTCCCCCAAAATGCAAATTTTGTAGTTGGAATAATATATGTAGTGTTGCCTTTCACTTTGGTTATCAGAGAATACTCTGTTTTCTTCCATTCTGGAATTCTCTAAAAGTCAAGTTCTGCTGAAGGAGTATTTCCCTCAAGGGTATTACCTATGCAGTAAGGGTTAAGAATTATGAGAATAAATTGGTCTTTACATGAGAACTGAAATGTACTAAAATAGGGAGCAACCTCTGATAAGTAAAAATCGTTGGTGCTTTGTTGTTTTTCCCTTTGTGCCTCTCCTGATGCCTGATTGTGGTCTTAAGTCTCTCTTAGCATTTGCATAAAGTCCAGGATAGATCCCTCCTTAATGACGAGCTGATCTTTAGATACCTGCATGTCAATAACACACTCTGATGCTATGTACCATTGACAGTCACACCGTGCCCCTCCATCTGCTTTTGTTTTGACCCTATCTTTGAACTTTATCTTGGTTGCCGGCCAGTAGTTTTCCCTTTAATTACAAGAAGGAAACTGTCAATAAAATCTGTTAAATGGGATGCAATGAGTGGCTTGAATGGGCGGACGGCTATTTGTTCAAATTCTGCAGCATTCAAGGTATTGACAGTTTGTTTTCTGGGGCCATATGTGACGATCAATCTCAGACTGGGCTCAGCCGCGCTGAAAAATGAAAAACCAGATTGCTTTTGCTTACTTGTGGATGACGACTTTGTGATTTGGCGTGGTCCTAGTGAGATGAGACCTTCTGCCCAAATTGCCCCCATGAGAGCCAGGAATGCGTGACTGTTTTTAGAAATAATTTTTAATTGATTTTGTAATTAACAGTTCATCTACAATATTGATGCATGAATCCTTGGACTGATAGGAGGGGGATTGTTTTCAACAATGAAGTTGTACTTTCCTATTTGTCTTCATGATGGCATTTAGCATTTCACACTTTTAATGGCGAATGTACCCCTCTTCCTTATAACACCATTCACTTCTCGCTTACTCCCCTGTGAAACTGTAAAATATGATTCTGTGTGACAAATGGCATCGTTGTCACAAACCCTGAGGAACCCCGTGCCCTGCTCTCTGGAAAACCAAAGTGGGAGATGGGATAGAGATTTTCTGAGAATTTATTAGCTTGCGTGGACTTCCCATTAGAGCGCCTCTCATAATTAGATGAAAGATTTTGCAGTGATGGTTTGGGAAGAATTTTTATTTGGAAACCATATAGTGATTCTAATGTAAAACATTTACTTGGTTAATTATTTTTAAAATGAAGCCAGTGTGTTTTATATCTTTCGTGTCTCAAATTGCTTTTTGTGAATTATTAATTAATCATGAATGCTGAGCAATGCTAAAACTTTATCGTCAAAATTGCTAAAATTCTATACTTTTGGATGTTAGACGTATACTTTATGGCTATGGATTATTATTTAGTTTACCTGAATTAATTAGTAGCAGCATTTCTGTTGCTGCTGTTTAGAAGTATAATCATTAATGTTTTTATATAGAGATATTTGTATTCCACATTCTCTGCTGTGAGGCAGAGGAGGTGACCTACTTTCAAGCAATGACTGGTGATTAAAAAGTTTATAGAACTAGTCAGTTTATTTTTCTTGTAATAACAGCCAGAAATAGTCAAACAAACCCTCTCTTTTTTTCTAGCATAGTATTCTGTAGCATTTTTTTTTCTTAAAAATTTCTCCACCTCACAAAATTCTCCTGTAAGTAATTCTAACATTTTTTCAGCGTCTCAATACCAAGGAAAATTAATTGAATCAGAGTCCATAATAAAGGAGTAACAACGAAGTCCTATAGGGACTATTTTAATGTCTAAATTGTGCCACCTCTCCTGTGCTGTATAAATATGGCCTTTCATCCAGCCAACCTGCAAGCCCCACCATTTTACCTTGGGATAAACCACTCAGAAAGGCATTTTGTTTGAGACTGTCAATATGATGCTATTTTATTCCATTTTTTTACCGTTATTTGGAGGACAGCAATAAAGTTGCAGATTCAGTCTTGCCGGGAACCTGTGTTTCTTAAGCTGCTCAAACACAGCAATATGAAAATATTTTAATGCTTTTCGTAAACATACCAAAAAGCTTGTAGATTTTCTTTCAGTATTTAGAAATTTTAGATTAACATAAGAGACTTTTGGCGGAGAAAAAAAAAAAACCTACTTTAGTGTGATTTATATAAGTACCTCAGCGTTCCCCGTATGGCTGTAGGTGTAAACAACCATTGTCTCATTAATCTAAATTTCAGCTTATTTTAAACATCTGTCTTTATTCAATAATTATAAATGTTGTGCTTATGCTTGGGAAACAGGGAATTGGCTTCCTGATAATGGCTGTCATATTTTTTGTAGCTATGTTTCTGTCACATATGAATTCAGGAATATTTATAACACCAGAAAACCATTGGAAGTGTATTCCCTATCTTCAGGTATATAGCCAAAAAAACCAATATATCATGAGCTAATACTGTAATTATCACATTCAGATCTTTGAAAACCCTAAATAATTGTTCCACTGATTTTTGAAGGTAAGAAACTAACTGACTCACCTAAACTACACATTCTCTATTTTGGAGTGCCAACAGCCTTTTGAGAAATACTGCATCCCCGATACATCTCTGTGGGACTGAATTTAAAGAGGAAAATCTAGGTCACAATTTTAACATTGTCATTGTAAGGCCCCGGCTTTCCCACACGTACACCAAGAGGTTTAGACTAATCTCTAAAATTCTTTCCATTTGGGGAATTCTATGATTCTAGAATTAATTTTATGTCTTTATGGGAAAATATAGTGAAATATTACTGCCAGCATTTTGGGTAAGATTATAGCACTTGGTTCTGTTCTCTCAATTGGTTCTATTGATTCTTATGTCTAAAATTTGTTTGAAACTATTATCACTGGCCCCAAGGTAATATACTCACCTTTACATAGTGGAAGATGAAAAGCAGTTTAAGATTAAGAATTGCTTTTAGTCCGATCATTCTCTTTGGCTTAAGACACAAGACCTTCAACTCCATAGCTGCCCCTCACAACCCGACTGCTGCCACCCCAGACCCACCCCCAACCTAGAGCCCTGTGAGCCCAGCCCATGTGAGAATAGATAGAATCTACATATTTAAGTTGAGTTTTCTTTTTACTTCCGCATAGTACCTCTGGAGTAATAGCATCTATTGATATAAAGCTGCAAATAATATTTTGGTCATCAATTTTAAATCATCAGTCATTATGCTCATCTCATGACAGTATTTTGTTCTCAAGGACAAATGGTATATGTGCAGAATGTGGTGTAATTTCAAGGGATTAAAAAGTCTGTGATTTCTGTCGGGGAGTGGAATGGGGGCCGTATTTAATCAGCATATTTGGACCCGCATACAAGTTTGGACTAGTGTTCCTCAATCTTATTTCATTCTCTCTCCTCTTAGGGTAGGCTTTTTCGATACGTTTTTCCTACTAGGTCCCCAATGAAGTATTAATATCACAGATATACAATGCATCTGTTTATGTACTGCGTATATGTGATTTTTACCCAAAAAAAGAGGGTTTTTTCTACTCTCCAATTCCAAATGTCACCTCCTTTGAGAATGCATGGTTTATCCACGTAACTGTTTTCTTCTCTGTAAAATGAGGCAGATGAATTTAATAACATCTAACATCTCCTAACTGGCCTAAAATTTTAATCTCAGTTACTTTTAAGAGAGGGTGGTGAGTTTGGTCTTATATTTTGCGTGTGGCTTGGTCGTATATTTTGTGTGTGGTGTGTGTGTTTGTGCTAAATTGGTAATATAGAAATATTAACATCTTCACGGATCTAAACAACCAGTTTAAAAGTAAAAACACCTCTTCAGTTCTTTAGTAGCTACTGGGCCCTCAAACAATTTTACTGAAATTTGGAGTTTGCTGATTTGATACTCAGGAGATAGTTTTAGCTATTGGTCAAGAGATTATCCTTTTTTAGAATCTTTCTGTAGACATTTCTGTTTTAGTTTTCAGCCTCTGCTGGGGAATCTCTTTTGATTTCCACAGCATGCCTGTTTGGGTAGACATATCCAGTATCATTTTACAGGTAATGGAAGTGAGCTGATAAAGATATGTGGCTGCTTTGAGGCAGAGGGCTGGACCCTCAGTCCCTTGCTATCAATAAGCTATTAATATTTCTATTTCACAAATAATGTGTATACCATGTCTTTAAAAGGGTCAATGAATAAGACGTTAGCCAGTGCAATTTCACATCTGCCACCCTAAATTAGTATTTTAAGTTTAGTTTAGAATTTTGTCCCCAGTTCCTTTATCTTGCTGTCTTCATGGAGCTATAGTGGTAGAAAACCACTCAGGAAAGTGACAAAAAGAATCGAAAACAAAATGTTTACCAGATTATAACATTTTTTAAGGAATGAATACGGATAGGTCCTTTGTGGCAGGTAGAAATTTATTCTTAACTTTTACCCAAACCAGTATCTTATTCTATAAGATAAATAAGAAATCAGAATTATGCCTTTCCATCTCCTAGTCTGCTTCTCTTTGGTTTTTGCTCAAATCAGTCATCACTGCTTGAATTATTTTAATTTTATTTTAGATGATATATCTGGGAAGTGGATTGTTTTTTAATTTAATGCAACCC